ATTTAAGTCCAGATTCTATCTAGACTTTGATCATCACATGTTTTAAATCACGAAATAACCCTGGTTAGGATATTACTAGAGAACGTTGAGATATTCTTTAATAATAACATTTTTGCAAACAACGGGGATTATGTTTACGGGGATTATGTTTACGGGTATCTATATTAAAAAACTTGACCTTTAACGTGCCCGTTTACATCTAACTTAAGATTGAAATACATATCATGAATGTAATACATATTAGAATTCTTTAGATAACATGTTTTTTTCACCAAAAGTTTGGCACCAAATAAGGAAACTAGAGTTCCAATCCGGATAAATCCGTCATCCATTTATCCGTATCTAATTATCCGGATAATCTGACAGGTATTCGGACAATTATTCGGATATCGATAGTAAACGGATATCCGAATAAATTCAGATCCGGATATCTGATAATTATTCGGAACTCTATTTCTATCATAATATTGTACTATAGTATATTTTATATTATGGGATAGCATATCTGATTGGGGTATCTCAATCACAAACATTAGTGCAAATTACATAGTGAAAATCAATAATCAATTTTTATAGTGATTTTTCCGGATTTTCCGATTTCACTATTTTCTATTAAATGATTATAGAAAAGTAATATTGTACCTGAAGTATTTATATTTTCGAATTCTGTAAACTATGTATACTTCATGAAATGTATATTCAAAAAGAAATTTTATTATTATTATGGTCACCAAATTAAAACCGGTAAATGGTCTTCATATATATGAATACTAACCATTATAATTTTTTATAAATCATATGTAAAACATAATGTTACTTTTTTGAATATGTACTTCATAAAGTATAAATAGTTTACAGAATTCGAAAATATAAAATACTTCATGAGAAATAAAAATTTGAGCGATATCACTTTTTTATAATAAAATGATGAAATCGGATCTAATAGTAAGTCGGAAAAAAATTCATTAATGATCTTGTACTATGTTTGTGATCAAAACCGACGTGAGATACCCCAATGTTTGACGATAATTGCATCATATCTTCTTTAGAATGGCTATTATACAATCTAACACTAACCATAAAGAGCTGTTAGAATTAATTATTTTTGCTTATTTGATTTTCGCATTACATCTGATGATTGGCTATTATACAACCTAACATTCATAAAGAGCTTAGAATAATGATTTTGATTGCTATCAAAGATGTAGATTGTTCACCTCTATCCCTCAGGACATGGCAAATGCCATTGTAACCCCTCATCTAATAACGGGTTTGAACATCAAGTGCTAAAATAAAAAATAAAATGAAGTAATAATGGAAATAGTAAGATCAGGTGGACCAAATCGTCCAATTACATGCTAAAACAAGTTAAATTCATTTTTTATTGGTTTATTAACAAGAATTTTGATTGGTTAGTATTAATTAATAATCGTGAAAGTTCGATAAAAGAAAAATTGGGTTTCCTATTCAGTTAGTTATATTCGACTAAAACGATAGAAAATATAATGTGATAACTTTTTTTATTACATATTAACGTTGTCAAAATATAAGTAAATACATATACAATATATATATAAATTAATAATAATAATGTGACTTAAGTATCTCTACGTATAATAACAGATAAAGATATACCACTCAAAGTAAAATATATACCATATGAGTAATTTTGAACTCGGACCAATTTTATATATGACGTAATAACATTTTGGTCTGGATTCAAAAAAATAATTACCCATATATTAAAATTAAAATAAATAAATTAAAGGACAATTTTAACGTTCACCAGAGGTGAAATTCACCGGGTATGCTGTTTTTAAAAAACGGCTTTAATAATTAGTGTTCGATAAATTAAGTAAAAATGTTCAGAACCCTAAAAAACTCCAATATCCTAATAACTATAATTTAAGTCTTAACCAAAGCTTAATTTCAGTCTTAAAATTAGAGATAAAATTTTCGTGAACTGTATGAATTCCAAAATAAATCCTAAATTGAATACAAAACTAAAAACCAATAACGAATGAAATAATAATAATTGAATATAATCAAGATTTAAATTTAAATGTTGTATCCATTGAAATAAACCAATCAAGACAATCTTTAAAAACTCTTTCTCCAGCAACAGGGTCTCTTAACATAATATGTTCACAACCTTCATATAAAAGAATTGATTTTTCATTTTTTGGAGTTGAAGCTTGTTCATAGAAATCTCTAGATCCTTTACAATCAGTAACACGATCGTTTAAACCATGTTGTACTAAGAAAGGTTTCCTTATTTCTCTAAGATGTGCCCCTAACCATTCGATATTACTCTGTAATGCCAAACCAGTAGAACACCTTAAATTTCCACTATATGTCATTGGATCATTCATGAAATCCTGATATATATATATATATATTAATGTTAGTTAAAAAGTATTAAAAGCGTAAATAAACGCAATAATAAAGTATATGTATATTCACCTCTTCTATCATAGGATCACTACTGAATTTACCACGGTGAGCAGCAACCAGCGG